GTTTATAGCATGTGACTATTTTTCTAGCACATGACAATTACCCTTTTTATTTGTGTATTACAATTAGTTAACTTACCTCATATAGAAGTACCACAGTCTATATGCAGTCTATGATCCATGCATATATATTTTACAAGGCCTATGTATCCTATACCCCTGTAAGGTTTATACAACCTACACAACTCAAACAACCCACTTATTTTTAGAGAACCTATTAGATTTCTTTTGCTTTTTCTCTAAAACATGTATTTAAAGATATTATTTTCACCTCTTTGTAATAACATGTTCATTTCATATTCTTATGTTCTATACAAATTCTCAAGTTCTTTATTAAATAAATACATAATTACAAAATAATTACAAAAACAATCTTTGTCTGAATACCTTCTGTGTAAAACCCATCCCTCTGGCACGTGTTGCGACCTAATTCTTGGTATTCTCGATAGAGTATCCAAAATTTTCATCATATTTGGCGACGACGACAGGACTACTGGTCATTTACATGAAGGAATTCGGTGAAGAATTGTCACATTCGTTTCTAAACTAATGACCCAATCCCGTATATCCTATTAAATTCGTCCATACCCAAGTCCCATATTTACACTCTATATATCGCCCCACCACATCCCAATAGTTCCATATCCACCCTAATCTAACTAATAACCTAAACGAATCATTTTCTCCACACTAATATCCCAATTAACATATTTGTATATGCTGAATGCTTCTCTAACGACTCTATATATCGTTCTACCTATAATGGCATTAATCTAATGAAACGTTAGTAGGATAAAATTTAAAGAAAACAAAGAAAGCAAAACTACGTATAATCTAAAAGGATACATTGCTTCGAAATCCCGTGCTCTACGTTGCATAATTCTCATACCCATCTTCAACTAATCGAAGCCAAAGACCTTTTATGTTTTGTTGCCTAACCTTGCCCTAATTTTATCTCAAATGTCGCACTATGTCAAGTAAAAAGCGTTAGTAAAAATAAAAGGAAGAAACAAAACACAAGGCAAATGATAAAAAAAAAAAAAAGGAGCCACATAATATAATATTTTCAAACAAAAGGATACATTGCTCTAAACAGCTCCCGTGCCCCAAGTTCGAAAACTTAGAGTTTCATGTTCTTGTTTTTACCTAGTCATCCACAATTAGTCTTGGTTCCTGGCTTATTTCTGTCAAGTTACCACAAAGCCCAAATAATACGCTCTATGTCGAGTAAAGTTCTCTTAAATAGAGAGGCATTAATTAGTAACAAAAATATATATATATATATATAGACTACATAATATATAAAAGAATATATGTCTTGCAGAAGTCCCATGGCTGAAGTATCTAATCCAAGTCAACCTAAATCTTTGTTGCTACATCTTGTTCTATATATTATGTCTAGATTGAATAAGAGTAAAATGCAGTAAAAAAAATAATAATAATAATAATAATAATAATAATTTTTTTTTGCCATACGCATTACACTTACTCTTAATATACCCGGTTACCTACATCTTTAATCATAATCCGCGACAGCCCTACTAGATCTTCTTAAGAAGCCCAAGAGATCTTATCAATAAACCTGGCTATATTAAACCTCTAAACCTAGAAAAAAAAAAATTCACCAGTCTTCCTATATCGTCTTGTAGGTTCAGGACCAGTAATTAGAAAAAAAAAAAAAAAATAAGCTCCAGGTTGCTGTGATGGCAAAATAAGGAAGAACTCCAGTGAATTTTAGATCCTGGTGTCTTCTTACGTCCAGACACCTTGCAAAAGGGAATAAAGATTATAGGAAAATAAAAAATAATAATTTTTTTTTAAAAAAAAAAAAAAAAACTGTAATATACAAAAGGATATATCACTTTAGATAGCTCCCGCGCCCCAAGTTCGAAAAACTTAGAGCCTCATATTCTGAAGTTTTGCCTAGTCATTTAATACAGTTCACGAGTAGTCCAAACTCGGTTTCCGGCTTATTTACTATCAAGTTACTCCAAAGCACAAATGAATTATTAGTTAAAGGCAGAATCAAAATAGACACAATGATGAAATAAAATAAAATTTGTGCCTACTTTATGGCCCAGAAATGCCAGGGTTCGAGAAAATCGCCGCCGGTGAGGAGAGAAGTCCAAGCAAGCTTGCAAGACCTAACACGACGTCGTATTTCGGAGTTCTCTCTATGCTGGAAGAAGATTTTGAATATCTGAACTAAAAAGAAAAGAGCTGAAAGAATTAGTTAGTCAAGACCCAGAAAAGAGAAATTCGAATTGCTCTAAAAACTCCAACGACAAGATCTTGAGTTCCAAGAAAGACGAATCAGTAAAACTAAAGAGCCAAAAACTGAACAACTTACCGGAAAGCTCAAGGAAAATAGCTTGGCTCGGCGCAAGAACTGAAAGATCTTTGGTCCCGAAGTAGATTTAAGGACGAAAACTAGAGTTAAAAAAAAAAAAAGAGATACAACACGACGTTGAGGTGTTTACTAGTTGGTTCAAACCCCTGAATCCCAAGAAAAGAAGCTGGTCACAAAAAGCCTGAAAACCAAGAGTTGGAAAATCATGAAAATCAAGATCAGCATATATATATATAAAAAAAAAAAAAAAAAAGAAGAGTCGAAAACAAAGTAAAAGAGATCCAGTTTGGCAGAAAACTATAAAAAAGGCCCAAAAGCTCTGAAAGATCCAAAAGCAGAAAATAAGGTGAAATTAAACTGAGGCACCGAAATTACAAAACGAATGAAAGATCTGAAGCGACGTGAAACTAGAAAAAAAAAATATATATATATATATATATATATTTAGAATCAGAACCAAGTCTCTACGAAAAACACGTTTCTTATACTCTTATACCGAAATTGCCAAAAACACGCCAGAAGTGAAGATGTACAAAAGATTCTTCCAACACCTTGTATGTAGAAAGGTCCAAGTGTGAAAGAATCTGACGTGATCTCGGCCAAAGGAAGTCTGAAAGCCCTGGAAAAAATGAAAAATCGATGCGAAAGAGACCGAAAGAGAGCATGGTGGTATAAAAGGTATATTTAAGAAAAAGTATATTTAAAAAAAAAAAAAAAAAAGGTGTAAAGCTAGAAAGAGAGAATGATAGAAAGAAAAAGAGATCAAGAGAAATTAGTGGATGATCCAACATATATATAAGTAACGATCATGTGGGTGATATCACGAACATCGAAAATCGCCGGAATGAACGAAATTTTGACTTTCTTGGTTTTTAGAAAGTCCCAGAAGCCCCGATCTTGAATAATAATTGTCCGGAAAGACCCTAAACAAGTAAAAGAAGACTAATAAGCTAGGGAAAATCAAGTACAAAAAAAAAAGAGAGAAGTATAATACTTATCTTTGTTCTTAAGCTTTGAAACCCAGATTGAAGTAAAAACTTTAATAACAAATATAACAATAAATATATTTTTATCTTTAATAATTTAATAAAATTTTTTTTATTATTCTTTTATTTTATTTTATTTAATCTTCATCCATATTATCTTCTTCTTCATCATTATCATCT